AGCTGGGAGAGCAGCCTCAGGAGTAAATGGGGGATCCTCAAAATTAAGAAAGAGTCCTTGTCCGGTCTAGATCAGACTCTGTAGCTGGACAGCCAGGAGGTCCTGGGTTAAGTCTCCTTTTGCGGGGAGCTCTGGGTCCCATCTGTCAAATGCATAACTAATCAATGTCTGGATATCTCACAAGAGATTTATGAAAGTCGTGTCTGTTACTGCTGTAGTTCAAGTGCTAAGATTTGATTTTTGTATGATTGAATTACTTCATTCAGCTTCTCTTATAGCAATGAAGATGATAATTAATGAATCTGAAATTTCGAAATCTGATTTTTGTAATATTACCTCTGTTTCTTACAAATACAAGACAGAATATTTATTGCCAATAATATATTAGAGTAAAACCTTAGCTATGTGCACAATATTGATTGTCTAATTCTGTTATATATTATGATGTTTATCACCACTTATATTTTATCAGCTAGATGACTTGAAGCAATTTTCTCCTCATTTCTGTGATGAGATTTTTATTATTCAGAATTACAACACAGAAATTGGAATGTTTATTTTTGAATGAGATGCAGTTTCTTCTCCCAGAATTTATTTAGAATGTTACATAACACATTTTAAACTCTAATTTGAAAAGAAATTTCTGTGTCAGCAACTACCCTGCAGAGACATCCAAACTGGTATTGACAGAAAAAGAAAAAACAGATATAACTTTATCCCTTAGAAAAAAATGGGAATGATAAAATCGTTATTCTTTTTCAGAAGGCAACACATGTAAATTTTTTAAAAATAAAAGTAGTCATACTTATGTGATGAATCGTGAAATATATGGGAAAAAAATGAAGGAAAATAAGTTACCTCAAATCCTACCAGCCAGAGAGAACCATTCTTAACATATTGGTGTATTTCCTTCCAGTCTTTCTTCTATGAAATAAACTGATACTATTAGCTGTGCAATATTGCTACACATGATTGTGTCATAGCTTAGTAACTTCCCCCCAGAGTTGAAAATTTAGGTTGTTTCAAATATTTTGCTTTTAAAAGATGACACACCTTCTGGTGGGTATGCAGGGGTATCACACTGTGATTTTAACCTGCGTTTCCGTCTAGTGAATATGATATGTGTCCTATGTCTGTTGGACATTTTGATGTCCTCATTTGTAAAGTGTCTGCTCAAATCACTTGCTATTTTTCTATTGTGTTGTTTGTCTTATTAATTGAATAGTAGGAGTTCTTTATATCACTGTCCCTCGGCATCCACGGGGGATTGGTTCCAGGACCCCTGCAGATACCAAAATCCACAGATGCTCAAGGCCCTTACACACAATGGTGTAGTATTTGCATGTAACCTATGCGCATCCTCCCATATACTTTAAATCACCTCTTGATTACTTATAATACCTAATACAACGTAATGCAATGTAAACAGCTGCAAATACAACATACATGCTATGTACATGGTTGCTGGTATGTGGCAAACTCAATTTTTGCTTTTTGGGAATTTCTGGAATTTTTAAAAAATATTTTTGATCCGAGGTTGGTTGAATCCTCAGGGATATGAAACCCACACATACAAAGGGCCAACTACATATTCTGGGTTCAAGTCCTTTGTTACAGTTACAGTAGATTCTCAATACTCAAGGTAGTTATGTCCTACAGAGTTGCCATGAATATTGAATTAGTGAACCCTGAACCATTGCTCCTGGGGAAATCCAGGGTTTAGGTTCCTGAGAGCCTCTGGTCACAACATGTTCATCAGCCGAAACACTATTTGCGTTTTCTGGGTTCATTTACCAATGTTCTGGTAAAGCAGGACGGTCTCTTCCGCTTTTCAAATCTGCTCTTCCCGTAGCCTTTTCCCTCTGTAACGCATAACAGGTATCGAGACAATCTTCCTCTAGTTCCTGAGCTCAGAACCCCCTGGTGCAGGCTTGACATTTTCATGCCTTGTCGCCTTTTGAAACCTGCGAGCCAGCCCACGCTAGCCAAGAAGGGTTTTACATTTTCTGGACCCTAGGCAACATGACAGTAAAGTTCTTTGGCTCTCAGCCTCCCCGCGCCACACCATCCACTGCCCTCTTTTTTATTATCAGCCGTCATTTCATGAATCTACCCATTTAGCCGCTTCCCCGTCTTCTTTCCCACCGCTTAGTCACACACTGCAGATGTTACTTTGGTACTTTCCGGTGACCTCACATACAGATGGGTGCATTTCCTCTTCCTTTTCCTGGATGTAGCATATCGTACTATTGATTCATTCTTGCTGAACTCCCCGGCCGCAGCACCGGGACTCAGGCCAGGACGGCTCACCTAACACACGTGTTTTCCTGCGTAAGGCACATCACGCCTCCTTGCTCGGGACACTATAGACAGCACTTCAACATGACACTTGGGGGCCCTTTTAAACAGTGATATCACCAACAAAAAGCACAAATATGAACTAAAACATGGTACTGAATAGACCACACAAAGAACACTTGTTTACAGTATGAGCTGAAATAAGGCGGTGTCGCGGTGTTCGACCTCAGCTGGGAACGTGCCCGTGGGGTGACTCAGACTTGGCACCCATGAGGGTGCCACGATATTCATTTGGGGTTCCCTATAAATTTTCGTAAGCAGGCAAATTCACAGCTGTGGAATCAGTGAATAATGAGGACCCAGTGTATTTGTAGTGTGAATATCTTCTCCCTCTATGGGTTACACTTTTTACTCTCTTAATGGGTCGTTTACTAAGCATAAGTTCTAAATTTTTAAATAGTTAAACTTACTGTGTTTGTTAATGGTCAGAGTTTTTCAATGCCTAATCCAAGATCATGACACTGTTCCTTACTCTTAGTTTCCCTTTAAAAGTTTTATTGCTTACCCTTCACATTTAAATTGGCACTCCACCTGGAATTGATTCCTGCATATAATGTGAGGTGGATATCCATGTGGCTATCTTATTGCTCCAGCATAATTTATTGAAAATAATATTTCGTTTTCGTTGTGGCCCGTTTTTTCATGGATCAAATAACCTATAAAGGTGGGTCTATGTTCAGACTATTTTTAATCTATTTATCTTTGTGCCGATACCAACTGCCTTAATATAGTTTTTAACAGTTCTTGATATGTATGTAGTGTAAGTCCTCCAACTTTGCTGTTTTCTAGAGTATCCTGGTTACTTTTGACACTCTGAATTTCTATATAAAGTTTAGAATCGGCTTTTTTTCTATAAAAATACAGTTGCTGGTGTTTTGACGGGGACTGCATTGAATCAATAGATGCATTTGGAGGGTACTGACTTTAAAAAATATCATTGACCTGGATTCAGGAACATGGACTACCCCTCGATTACTTATTTCTTCTTTAATTGACCTCAGTAACGTGTGTCAGTTTTATGCAGAGTCCTCGTGCATCTTGTATTGGGTTTATATCCTCTTTGTTCCTACATCTATTTTATCTCATATTGATATAGCAGCTCCTGGTTTTGTTCTTGAGTAACATTAGCATGATGTATCTTTTCCCATTCTTTCACTTTAAAGTACCTGTGTTTTTGTGTTTGAAGGGAGTTTCTTGGAGACAGCCTACAGCGGGGGTCTGCTGAGACCAAGTAATTCCTGACATGTTAGGACTTAAATCTGCCAATTTTTTAACGTATTATCTGTTTTATTCCTCTGTTGTTCATTCCTCTTTTTTCTTGTCTTCTGTGTATTTGAACCTTTTCTAAGGTTCCATCATGTCTTATTTATAGTATTTCTGAGCACATGGCTTTGTATATTTTTCATGGGAGTTTCTCTGGACATTATATCGTGCATACCTAACTTATCACAACATACTGTCATTGATGTCTTAACAATTCAAATGAAGTATTGAAACCTTCTGTCTGTATAGGTCCCTTTCCCATCTCTGTCTCAAAAATGTAATTGTCTCAAGTATTTCCTCTGCGTACACTGAGTACTGCAACTGATACTGTACTCTCGCTTCAATCATTATGTCTTATTTAAGGAATCCACGAGGTGGAGAACAGCTTTTATACTCTCCATGATCTTTCCTATCCAGCTGTTCTTTCCTCTCTGAAGTTCCAAGTCATCTTTTTTTAAAAAATTGGTGTAAAAGACACATAACACAAAATTTACCATCATAACAACTTTTAAGCGTACAATACAAAAGTGTTAACTATGTCATTGTTGCACAATAGATTCCTAGAACTTTTTCATCTCGTAAAACTGAAACTCTATACCCACCTAACAAATCTCTTCTCCCTCAACCCCACTAGCCCCTGGCAACTGCCATTCTACTCCCTGCTTCTGTGAATGTGACGATTTTAGATTCTGCATGTAAGTGAGATCATGCAGTATTTGTCTTTCTGTGTTTGGCTTATTTCAGTCAGCATAATGTCCTGGAGGTTCACCCATGGTGCAGCACGTGTCAGAATTTCCTTCCTTTTTAAAGGTTAAACAACATTCCATTGTACGTGTACATCATGTTTTTCTAATCCATTTATTGATCAATGGACATTTAGGTTGCTTCCACCTCTTGGCTATTGTGAATAAGGCCCAAAAGGACATGGAGTACAAATATCTCTTCCAGATCCTGCTTTAAATTCTTTTGAATATATACCCAGAATTGGAATTTTGCATCGTATGTTAATTCTATTTTAATTTTTGTGAGGATTCTTCATACTCTTTTCTATAGATGTTGTATCATTTTAGATTCCCACCAACAGTGGTCTAAGTGTAATTGAAATCCAATCTTTCCTTATTGATTTTCTGTCTGGATGATCTATAAATCGTTGAAAGTGAAGTATTGAAGTCCTCCACTATTATTGTGTTGCTGTTTTGCCTTCAGATCTGTTAACATTTGCTTAATAAATTTAGGTGCTCTGATATTAGATACGTATATGTATCAATATATGTATATGTGTATCTATCTATCTGTATATATAACAACTTACAATGAGCAATTTACAATTGTTATGTTTTCTTGATGAATTTATCCCTTCATCATTATATAGTGACCCTTTTTGTCTCTTGTTACAGTTTTTGACTTAAAGTCTATTTTGTCTGAAATAAGTATAGCTACCCCTGTCCTCTTTTAGTTTCCATTGCCATGAAAATCTTTTTCCTTCCCTTCACTTTGAATCTATGTATGTCCTTGAAACTGAAGTGAATCCCTTGTAGGCTGCATATATTTGGGTCTTGTTTTTTAATCCAGTCAACCATTCTTCATCTTTTGATTGGAGAATTTAATCTATTTACATTTAAAGTAATTATTGTTAGGGAAAGACTTACTATTCCCATCTTTTAATTGCTTTCTGGCTTATTTGCAGTTCCTTTGTTCCTTTCTTCCTCTCTTGCTGTCCTTTGTGAATTGATAATTTTCTATAGTGGTATGCTTTGATTTCTTTCTCTATGTCTTTTGTGCCTCTACTACAAGTTTTTGCTTTGTGATTACCACAAGGCTTACATAAAGCATAGTTTTCACAATCAATTTTAAATGGATAACAACTTAGGCTTCATTGCATGCAAAAACTCTACACTTTTATTCCTCCTACTTCACATTTTATGTTTTTGATGGTGCCGTTTATAGCTTTTTATGTTTGTATCCATTCACAAATTATTGTAACTACAGTTACTTTTGATATTTTTGTCTTTTAACCTTTATATAAGACTTAAGTGATTTATACACCACTATTACAGTATTAGAGTATTCCGAATTTTACTATATACTTACATGTATCAGTGAGTTTCACACTTTCATGTGTCTTTGTGTTACAAATTAGCATCCTCTCATTTCAGCTGGAGGAACTCCTTTCAGCATTTCTTACAAGGCAGGTCTAGTAGTGATGAACTTCATCAGCTTTTGTTTAGGAAAATCTTTTTCCCTCCATTTCTGAAGGAGATTTTGCTGGGTAAAGTATTCTTGGTTGTAATTTTCGTTTTCTTTCAGCACTTTGAATACAACATCCCACTCTCTCCTGGACTGCAAAGTTTCTTCTGAGAATTTTGCTGATAGACTTACAGGGGTCTCACCATGTGAGATGAGTTATTTTTCTCTTGCTGCTTTCAAAATTCTCTTTGTTTTTGATTTTTGGCAGTTTTATTATAATGTGTGTAAGTTTGAGTTAAATTTGTATTCATTTGTATGTTCATGAATTCATGAACCTGGATGTCCTTATCTCTCCCAGATTTGGAGTTCTTGGATATTATTTCTTTAAATAAGCTTTCTGCCCTTTTCTCTCTTCTTCCTCTCCTGGGAGCCCCACAACGTGAATCTTGTTTCAGTTGATGGCGTCCCGTAACGCACATGGCTTTCTTCACTCTTCTTCATTCTTTTTTCTTTTTCTTTTCCCTCTGACTGAATAATTTCAAATGATTTATCTTGAAGTTTACAGATTCTTTCTTCTGTTTCATCAACTCTGATGTTGATGTTCTATACTGCATTTCTCATTTCATACATTGTATTCTTCAGCTCCATAATTTCTGCTTAGTTCTTTTTTATTATTTCTATCTCTCTGTTGAACTTCTCATTTTATTCATGTATTGCTTTCTTGATTTCATTGAATTGTCTATCTGTGTTCTCTTCTAGCTCCCTGAGCTTCCTTAAGACAATTATTTTGAGTTATTTTCCCAGGAATTCATAGATCTCTATTTCTTTGGGATCAGTTACTGGAAAATTATTGTATTCCTTCATTGGTGTCATGCTTCCTTGATTTTTTCATGTTTCTTGTGTTCTTGAATTAATGTCTGAGTATTTGAGTGCTCAGTCACCTCTTCTAGATTTTATGGACTAGTTCTGGTGGGGAAAGATCTTCACCTGTGGGTAGGTGTGAGGGGACAGGCTAGGTAAGCTGTGGTGGTTCCAGCTCTAGGGAGGGCCCAGCAGTGTCATCTCTGCAACTGTCAGCTGAGGTCAGTGTCAGTGAGGACTGCAGTGATCCTCAGTAGTCAAGGCTGCAGTAGCAGAAAGACTGTTGGGGTCTTTGGCGGTAAAGGCTGACCTCTTTTTTTCCCATAGGGCATGTTGTCACTAGCCCACAGTGGCAATGATGTGTGAGGCATGGATGCCTGTGGAGCAACCACAGAGCTGGGGACTGGAGCTCAGGTGCTCACAGAGCAACAGCAGCTGTGGGGTCCAGGATGCTCACAGGGTTGGAGGGTGACAGCCCAACCCCATGATGGCTCCTTCTGGGCAGGGGGATGTAGCAGCACCTCCCTTCCCAAGGAATCTGCAGTGAAAATGGCTACTGGTTATCTCAGCAGCAAAGACTTCTAGTGTCTTCCACAGAACAGGTCACTGGGAACCAAGATAGCACCTACCACACGGCTGAAAATCCTAGCCATCTTCTTTGTTCCTAGCCATCTCCAACATCTCAGCTAAGCCGATCTCCCCAGTGATCCCTTCTGTGCAGTTATTCTCCCTTTTTTGTTCCACTGTTTTGCAGTAGGTTCTTAATTAGACTCTTGAGCCCTACCCCCAACACTCTTTTCGCTTGTGGATAGCTGTGCAGCTGTTGTTTGGTGTGGGGGGGTGGGGTGGGCAGGGGAGGCAAAGCTAATACCGCTTACTCTGCCGTCATGCTGATGTTACTTCTCTGTACCTGATTCTTGAAGTACTTTTGATGGCAGCTTTAAGTCATTCTCAGTTAATTTTAACAACTCATTCATCTTTGTGTTGCCATCAATTGATATCTTTTCTCACTCAAGTTGTGATTTTTCTGGCTCTTGTTCTGATGAGTGATTTTTTTATTGTATCCTGGACATTTTGGAGACTATATTAAAAGACTCTTGGTCCTACCTAAATTTTCTGTATTTGCAGGCAGTCATCCTGTTCAGGTTTAGTGTGTAGGCTCTGACCTACTTGTGCGAGCTTTCGTTTCTGAGCCCTTTGCCATGCTATTAAGGACTCCTTTGTTCTTCTGATTCTGCTGGAGCTTCTGCTGGCTCCCTGATAATGCTGCCCACTGGGGTGGGGGGGTGCCTCCTTGGACCACTCATGTCCTTGAGTATAGGTGGGATGCTGGGCCTGTGGGATGAAGAGTTTCTACTGGCCTGTTCTCTGGTTATCCAGTTTAAATGGGCTTATAACTCTATCTCTGCCAGTGGCACTGGGTGAAGGAAGCATTTACAGGGACCACCTTCTTTCATAGGATATGGTTCAGGAGACCATAGGTCTGGCTCACCTTCTGCCACTGGAAGGAGGGTCTAGAGAAGCCTGGATCTTCTGTTGCCAGACAGAGGGCCAGAAGCCACTGGATCTAGGTGGATAATAGGGAGACACTAGGCCTGTTGGCCCCACAGTACCAGCAAAGGGGAAAGACTGCTGCAGTCAGACCCACCCAGGTCCTAAAGCTGCCACTGCTGTAAGCAGACCAGTCCGTAACTTTCAGCTGTTGGAGCTGGTGCTGCAGGAAGATCTGATGACCTGCCACCGGTTATGAGTCTCCCTGTTATATCCCTGCTGGGCTTCCTCTTTCCCATTATTTTTAGAGGGGTTTTTTGGCCTGAGAGGACAGGCTTTTCTCTCTTTCTCTTTCTCTTTCTCTTTCTCTTTCTCTTTCTCCCTTCCTTCCATGCCTGTTAGCAGTTCTGGTTGCAGGTATCTCCAACACTCAGTCCAAGGTATCTGGGAGATAAAAAAAAAACAAACCAGTGAGCTCACTGTGTGTCCTTCATCAAGTCCTGATGTCCCTAGGCAGTTCACCTTCTTTTCACCTTTTGGAGCCCTTTATGGCTGTTGAATTATTTCTAGGGTATTTAGTTATTTTTAGAGGGGAGGAACAGAGAAAAATGAGTACATGCCATCTTGCCCTAAAACTAGAACCAAGAGTTTTATTTTTAGTTAATCATAAATGTTGATTTGCAATGCTTATCAAAAACTTATTACCATCTATCAAGACAATCCTATGACATGTCTTCTTTAATGTATTAATTTGGTGAATCACAATGATTGCTGTCAGATGTTAAACCAACCATGAGTTATGAGGTAAATTCAACATTTTGTTTATTCTCTGCTTGTCACCTCACAAGACTCATTCTCTGCCCTTTCCTGGCCCGTAAAAGGTGAACCTCTCCGTGCTGCTTTGCCCAGGTTCCTTGTTCTCTGAGCTGGGATCAACTGAATTTAAATAATGGAAGGTGTAGCCAAAAGTTTAGAGGGTGGGAATGGAGAAGGAAGTTAGGGAATCATCTCCTCCCTCTAACTGCTTGCTGTGGGGAGATAGATACTGAAACTAAACATAAATAAGTGAGAAAAGTATATTGTATCTAGAAAGCAAGAAGTGCCCTGCAAAAAGTGAAAGCACAATGGAGTAGGAGAATTGAGAGGGGGCAGGTTGTAATTTTAAATCAGATGGGGTCACACTAGGTCTTGTTTAAGAAGGCGATATTTGAGCAAGGACTTCTGACAGGTACAGAAGCAACCATTTTAAGGACTTTGGATTTTCCTGAGTAAAATGGAATACATTGGAGGGCTTTAGACAGAAGAATAACATACTTTGACTTATATTTTACAAGGACCTTACGGTAATAAAAGTCTCTTGAAAAATAGAAATGCATGAATCCTTCCTTAAAATGATAAAATGTAAACTTCAATCCTGAAGCTCTTATTTTAATTGCAGATATATTAGAGACATCCCCACTAGGGTAAGGATCAATGCAAGGGTGACCAATTGCCCCACACTTTCTAACATTCTTCTGGAGGTATTAGCCAATACAATTGGACAAGAAAATACAATTAGAGACATAAGAACTGGAAATGAAGAAATAAAACTATATTTTCAAATGTTATATTAGTTTAACAGGAAAATCCTATATAACAATGATAATAAAAGAATTCAGCAAGGTAGCTGGCTATAAAATTAAATTGAAAAAAAATGACCTAAGCCTCATATAAATTAATTCAAATAGATTAAGTCAAAATAGTTTATAGAATTAAATGTAGGATGTAACACTATAAAACTTATACAGGAAAACATAGGAGAAACATGGTGACCTGGATTAGGAGAAAGTGAAGAGGTTTTTTACATGACATCAAAAGCAGGATCCATAAAAGAAAAACAATCAATAAACTGAATTTCATCAAAATTTAAAACCCTTGCTCTGCAAAAGATGCTGTTAAGAGGATAAAGACAAGCAACAAATTTGTAAAAAAATAACTACATATACTACATATCTACAAATATGTAGATAACTACATATCTACCTAACTACATATCTACAGATAACTACATATCTACATAACTACATGAACTACACGTCTGAAAATGGACTTATATCAAGAATATATAAAGAATTTTCAAAATGAAACAGTAAAAGCAATGGGCAAACATTTCACCAAAGAGGATACACAGATGGCAAAAATGCACATGTAAATATATTCAGCATTATTAGCCAATAGGGCAGGACAACTTAAAACCATGATGAGGTGTCACTCCACACCTATTAGAACAGCTAAAATTTTAAAAAATAAATAATATCAAATGCCGGGTGAGGATTCAGAGAAACTGGATCTCTCACACACCATTGGTGGGAATGTAAATCGTATGGCCACTTTGGAAATTCATCTGGCAGGGTTTTTGCTTGTTTAAAATTAAACACACAATTACCATACAAGTCAGCAATCACACTTCTGGGTATTTATCTGCTATGGACTGAATGTTCACATCTCTCCAAAATGCATATGCTGGACTCCTAATCCCCAAGGTGATGATACTTGGAGGTAGGGCCTTTAGGAGGTGATTAGGTCATGAGGGTGGAGTCCTCATGAATAGGATGCATGCCCTTAAAAAAGAGACCCCAGAGGGGTCCTTGCCCCTTCCACCACAAGACGACACAGTGAGAAGCTGCTGGCTATAAACCAGAAGAGGACCTTCACGAGAACATGACTGTGCTGGAGCCTTGATCTTGGACTTCCAGCCTCCCTAACTGTGAGACATACATTTCTGTTTTTTATAAGCCACCCAGTCTGTGGTATTTGGTTATAGCAGCCCAAACAGACTAAGACATTATCCCAAAGAAATGAAAACATGTCCACACAAAATTCTGCATGCAGATGTTCATAGCAGCTCTTTTTGTAATATGCAAAATGGGAAACAACCCAAACATCTTTCAAAGGATGAATGTTTAAGCAAACTATGATATATCTATACCACAGAATATTCCTTAGCAGTGTAGCCAGCGAAGTGTTGATAAGTCCAGCAGCTTGTATGGATCTCAAGGGTATATGCTGAGTGGGAAAGGCCAATCTCAAAAAGTCACATATGGTATGATTCCATTTATGTAACAGTCTCTAAAGGACAAAAGCATTGGTGGTTTCCAGGGAAGTGGGTGGTGATAGGGAGACGGGTGTTACTGTAAAAGGTATCACAAGGAATCTTTGTGCTGATAGAACATTTCTGTATCTTGATTGTGATGGTGGTTACACAAATCTACACATGACAACATTGCATAGAGCTCTACTTGTACACATACACACACACAATGAGTTCATGTGAAACTAAAATCTAAATAAGGTCTATAGATTGTACCAGTGTCAGTTGCCTGGTTTGATAGTGTGTTATACTTAGGTAAGACATGACCACTGGCCAAAAAATTCAAAATTCTTACACGTCCGCATTCTTTAACTCACTATTTCCTTGGGACATATCCCAAGAAAATTATTAGAAAGGTAAGCAAATCTTTACAAATATGGATACTCATTACTGTTTTCTTTTTATACATATGTATCATATAACAATATAATTTGTATGCCAATCCAGGAAAACCTTAAAACTTAGGGGAAGGTGCTAACCTAATTGAAATTATATAATTTCTTGAAATAGTTCCTTTTTGACTGACAAGTTGGTTTACCATGATTTAACATGGACTTAATAAAAGAATTCTAGTCACAAAATACTGTAAAAGGACAAATAAGACATTCTAGTTATACATCTTTGATTATGTTTTAAGAGTTACTCTACAGAATATAATATACATCCACAACTTATCACAATATACCTTGAATTACTAGTACACCACTTCATGTATAAGGTAAAAATCTTACAACAGCATAATCCTACTTAAAAACTTTCTGTCCTCTCTGCTACTGGGAGCATATACTTTACTTTAAAAATTTATAATCCCTAAACACGCAATTATTAGTTTTTCCTTAAATATTAAATTGACTGTAAATGAATTTTTTAAATGAAAGAAAAACAGTCTTTCATATTTATCAACCTATTTACCATTGTTAGCTATCTTCCTTCCTGTTGATCTGAATTTCCATCCTGTATTTGTTCCTCTCAGCCTGAAATTCTTTTATCATTTCTTGTAGTGCAAGTCTGGTGATGGACAATTCTCTCAGCTTTGGTATACTGAAGATAACTTTATTTTGTTTTTGTTTCTGAAAACCTCTGCATATAGAATTCTGGGTTTTCATTTTTTCTTTCAGCCCTTTAAAAATGTTCCATTTTCTTCTTGCCACTGTACTTCTGATGAGAAGTGAATTGTTCTTATCGTTATTCCCCCAGTATGTAATGTGTCTTTTTCCTCTGGCTGTTTTTAGGAATTTTTTTCTTTATCTTTAGTTTTCAGGAGTTTGTATTTGGTGTGCTTTGGTGTGAATTTGGTGGTAGGAGGGGGAGGGAAATTTTTATACTACTTGAGGTTTGTAGTGATTCTTGAATGAATGGGTTGATGAACTTATCAAATCTGCTAAATTATTAAAGACCTAAATGTAAGGCCAGAAACTATCAAACTCTTAGAGGAAAACATAGGCAGAACACTCTATGACATAAATCACAGCAAGATCCTTTTTGACCCACCTCCTAGAGAAATGGAAATAAAAACAAAAATAAACCAATGGGACTTAATGAAACTTCAAAGCTTTTGCACAGCAAAGGAAACCATAAACAAGACCAAAAGACAACCCTCAGAATGGGAGAAAATATTTGCAAATGAAGCAACTGACAAAGGATTAATTTCCAAAATTTACAAGCAGCTCATGCAGCTCAATAACAAAAAAACAAACAACCCAATCCAAAACTGGGCAGAAGACCTAAATAGACATTTCTCCAAAGAAGATATACAGACTGCCAACAAACACATGAAAGAATGCTCAACATCATTAATCATTAGAGAAATGCAAATCAAAACTACAATGAGATATCATCTCACACCAGTCAGAATGACCATCATCAAAAAATCTAGAAACAATAAATGCTGGAGAGGGTGTGGAGAAAAGGGAACACTCTTGCACTGCTGGTGGGAATGTGAATTTGTTCAGCCACTATGGAGAACAGTATGGAGGTTCCTTAAAAAACTACAAATAGAACTACCATACGACCCAGCAATCCCACTACTGGGCATATACCCTGAGAAAACCATAATTCAAAAAGAGTCATGTACCAAAATGTTCATTGCAGCTCTATTTACAATAGCCCGGAGATGGAAACAACCTAAGTGCCCATCTTCGGATGAATGGATAAAGAAGATGTGGCACATATATACAATGGAATATTACTCAGCCATAAAAAGAAATGAAATTGAGCTATTTGTAATGAGGTGGATAGACCTAGAGTCTGTAATACAGAGTGAAGTAAGTCAGAAAGAGAAAGACAAATACCGTATCCTAGCTGGAATTTAAGAAAAAAAAATGTCATGAAGAACCTAGGGGTAAGACAGGAATAAAGCCACAGACCTACTAGAGAATGGACTTGAGGATATGGGGAGGGGGAAGGGTGAGCTGTGACACAGCAAGAGAGAGGCATGGACATATATACACTACCAAACGTAAGGTAGATAGCTAGTGGGAAGCAGCCGCATAGCACAGGGAGATCAGCTTGGTGCTTTGTGACCGCCTGGAGAGGTGGGATAGGGAGGATGGGAGGGAGGGAGACGCAAGAGGGAAGAGATATGGGAACATATGTATATGTATAACTGATTCACTTTGTTATAAAGCAGAAACTAACACACCATTGCAAAGCAATTATACCCCAATAAAAATGTTTAAAAAATAATATTAAATAAAATTTTTTTTAAAAATCTGCTAAATTTTGTCAAATATATGCATATTTTATTGAATGTATAAACTCCATTTCTCCCTCTTCTTCTACCTTTGAGACACCACTTCTATGTATGTTAGACCCTTCGGCACTGTTCAACATGTCACTGAAGCTCCATTCATTTTTCAGTCTTCTTTATCTACATGCTTCAGTTTTCTTCAAGATCACTGATCCTTTCTTCTGTTACATCCAATCTTTTGTTAAGGCTAGCCAGTAAATTTTTGACTTGAGATATTGTATTATTCAGTTCTAGGATTTCCACTGGGTTCTTTTCTAGTTTTCATATCTCTCCTGAAATCCCACTCTTCACTCATTACAGTCATATTGTCCCATGGACTGCGTAAGCAGAGTCACTGTAGGCATTTCAAATCCTTAATGCTGATTCCAGCATCAGCATTCCTTGTGATTCTACATCTAATGACTTAGTTTTCTGGACTGTGAGCCACATTTTCCTGTTTCTTCACATATCTAGTGAGTACACTCCTGTGCCATGGTTTCTTCATTTAGTGAGAACTTTGGTTTCCTATGAGTGGTACTCCACTAAAACATGTTCATATTAGTGCCACCAAAAATTTATTTTATCTTCAACATCAACTTTAGTAGCATGCAGAATTATGTCAGATGTTATATTTTCTATGAAATAAACTTTTAAGATCTTTGTGTTGATTCCCTGAATTACATTAAAAAAATGAAACAATTCATATTAACTAATTTTCTATTTAAAGGATCTAATGACAACAACAAAAAATGACATTTTTAAACTGATTTTAAAGTTTTTTCTGAAAGTGGAGGCCATGTAATAACAGATACAGCTGTACTTTTGATACATGCAAAAAATCCAAAAATAGAAGTGAAAAAAATAATTTAGAATGACAGCCATTTGACCTAAAAAGGCATGTTTCTCAAGTGATATATGAGTGCAGCTTCTGTCATTGTACATCTTAATTGTTCACCTTTGAGCGCTATGTTCTTAAAATAACTACCAACTTTTGAAGCAAAAGCTGATGCTTTCTCAGAGTCTTTTTTTTTCTTGTGGAGACTGGTGGCCTGGTGCCTTTGTGTGTGTCAGAGACTATGCCACGCTACTTGCCTTTCAGATTTAATCAGGAGTTAAAGTCGGAGCTCTGCTTACCACACATTCATCTCACAGTGGCAGCCACTGGAGGTACACAGTGGTGGTCTACCAGAGTCACCTATCTTAACGTGGCTATTTATAATAAAACAATTAAAAATGAAAAACCCAAGATAAATAATAAGCTATATGGGACTCCAGGACAACAGGATTGTCGTGGGAAATTGGGGACATATAGTCATTCAGTTTATACCTACACTTTGCAGTTATTTTGGAGATGGGGCTGGTCCTTTTGCTCATCACAATTCTATCCCTGTACCATTTGCTGGTATCTGCCGTTCCATCCCTGTTTAAGGTTCAGGCCTTGAGCAACGACACGCTGAGTGCCCACAGACATAGATCTGGCCGTTCTTTTCTGCGGCACTCACTGGATTGAGAGGACAGCTTCACACAGGCTTCTCCAGGTTTGTGGGGTCATTTCAGCATTAACCTGAGAGTAGCATGGCCCATTCTGCGATTCTCTAAGTGCACTTCATTTGCTCACATCTCACTCTTCTGTCACAACAGATCACGCCCACGGAACTCGAGTTGTTCCATAATTGTGTTCACTGCTGTTCATAACAGGCCACAAGCTTGTCATCTGGCATTAGTGCTGGCAGGTCTGGGGCTAGGGCAGTCCCTGCGTGTGACTCAGGCACCACACACACATGCTCACGCCGAACAGAACTCATCCCTGTGGTGGCAGATGTCACCTTCCTCAGCAGGAACTTCCATCTCCAAGAGGTTGTTAAAAGTAGACATACATCTTTAATGGGGACATTAATACTTCATGAGCTTGTAACGTTGCTGGAGAGCAGGGTTTTAGTCACTTTCCAGGACCCATTAAAATTCATGTGCAAATTATTGCGGGGAGTTTTTTCAGCTCATCATCCATTAGTAACTAGTGAAACAGCTGTTTCACATGTGCATGGTGGAGGGAAAGTGCTGCATAAGCAATCAGACCTAATATTTATCATACTGCTTGGTTTTTAGGTTTTGGAGCAGTTGGTAATTATTACAAAGTTGGTAAATTTTGGAACCAGCGTATTGGTTGTACAGGAAGTACAAACATAACCAATCAATGGTTCTCTGACTTTAGGAGGGTTCAGGCTGCTGCTTTTAAGAAGCATCAAAGCCCATTTTGACAGCTGAGTGTTATGGGAAGAGGCTGCTGTTGACACTTGCGTTAGGAATTCACATCCTCTTAACAGACTGCCGGAATTCCAGCCCTGCCTAAAGGTGCTGGTCTGAATAGAAATGTCACAATTATCTACGCCTGTCCCAGGAACAATAACTCAAATTCAACTAAACTAAGCAAACATTATTAAGCATTTACCGTGACAGACCCAGTGCTGGAGCTGGGGATCTGTGGGGAACAGGTATGGTCCTGGCCCTGAGGAGGCTCACAGACTTGTAGGATCCAAGGAAGCAAAAGGTTACACCATAGCGGTGTGTGTGAGGAAGAAGTGGGGAAGGCATGAGCAAGGGAAGCTTCTAGAAAGTGGCAGGCGGCACCACAAATGGAGAAGTGAAGATGAGGCCTGCAGGCACACAGGTGGGCGAGCGTTCCAGACCGTGAGAGCAGTATTTGCAAACCCAGTGATCTTAAACCTATCTGCATTGGGTAGGTCCTGTTACCCAAAAGCTGGGTTCGCCTCTTGGGTGTTAGGCCAAAAGACACAACCAAGCCAAAGATGAAGAGAAGGAAGGTGTGATTACTTGCAGCAAGTGAGGAGAACACAGGGGATCTTTCCCAAAGCAGTGTCTCCCCAATAGCAAAACTGGGGAAGTTTTAAGCTGAGGGTACACGCATATTCATGAAGGGGCTCGAGCAGAGGAGAATTCAGCATAGAATTGGGGCAAAGGTCGACAGAGTCCCTCCCTCAACCCCCTCCCCTTGGCAACAACAAGTCTGTTCTCTAGGTCCGTGGTTCTGTTTCTGTTTCACAGATAGGTTCATTTGTGTCATGTTTTAGATTCCACGTATAAACGATATCATATGGTATTTGTCTTTCTCTTTCTGACTTGCTTCACTAAGTATGATAATGTCTAGCTGTATCCGTGTTGCTGCAAATGGCATTATTTTGTTCTTTTTTATGGCTGAGTAGTATTCCGTTGTATATATGTACCACATCTTCTTTATCCATTCATCTGTCGATGGACATTTAGGTTGTTTCCATGTCTTGCCTATTGTGAATATTGTCAACTTTTTAAATGATAGTTGTTCAGGAAGGGGTATGAAGACATCACATAAATTTTATGGGGTTTTCCAGTTTTGTGGTGGAAGCAACCATTGTTCCAGCACTGTGTAAGCAAGTGGACATGGTCACCTCTAATCCTTTTGGGTGGTCCTTTCCCAGCTTCAGGTGTTTTCTCATGCACAAGTGCTGACCTGCAGTCTGCTATTTACTAAAAGGGTACCCTTTGTAGATTTCTCTGTGCCAATGGCTCCTGCCTGTCAGTCTGTCCTGCAAACTCTAGCTGCCTTGATCTCCCCAGACTCGCAGCTCCATTTCTTTAACCTGGGCGTCCACTAGGCATCTCCTGGCACCCCCTTGCTGGGCAGTCAAACTATCCCAAGGTAGTAATCTCGGGGCAATCACAGTGCTTATCTCACTTGTTTCCTGCCTCTCAGAGATTATTCACCTACATTGCTAAACATCCAATGTCTTGGAAACCAGCGTCTCATGCATTTTGTCCATTTTTTGGTTGTCTCTGATAAGAGGGTCAGCTGGTCCCCATTACTCCATTTGTACCAGATGTGGAAGTCTTTTTCATACATTTTCAAATGGATAATTGGTAGATATTTAAACGTTATTGTATTTAGATTTCAGATACATTTAAAAGAGTGATGCCACAGTTTTATTTTAAAACTTCAATATTTACATTACTCTAGGGGTCACATCCATGGAGTAGTTAACCTTTCAATGAACATTTTTATATGTCAACTTGAAAAGCACTTTAAGTTAATATTTAACTTAATTTTAGCATTTAAGTTAATATTTTTGTCAATATTACTTTGAGGTTACAGAAGCAAAACAGTCTGAGGACCATTGTTTTAATTACCCATATGGTGTCTCTGTCGGTCTGAAACTAGTGACATTTGCCAACATAGTGGTCTTTTAGGGACTCCTGGGGTACTAGGACCAGCCTGTGTGGTACCCTTGTCCCAGTTCCTTCCCGACAACAGGCTTTGTCTTGAATTTCATGAAAGGGGAAACTGCACCTAGTTTGCCATCTACGGTATGATAAGTATCAATCTCCCTGGTTGCTTTTCGCATATCTCATTTGTGCAAGTCCGTGTCTTGGTCTTGGTGTGATGAGCATAGACACACACTCTTGACGGGTGAGTATAAGCTCAGATCTTGTTTGGAAGGGTTGCCATCCCAACGAGAGACAGTGAGATGGCTCATCCACTGTCACACTGTTAATCATGTGTGGATCCAGAATTGGAACCCAAGTGACTAGCTACAGCATCTCCTGTCCTTCTTCCCACCAGAGTCTCTAATATAAGTGGGACAGACAACCATATTGGCCATCTATCCCATCTGTTCCCACTTTCACATGAAGAAAGAACTTGAGTAAAACTTGTTATTGTACAAGTGAAAATTTGAGGGGGACTTATTTATTACCTATGTTTTATCAATAAGAGCATAGATGTTTCATAGTTGATCTGTGTATAAGTCTTAAGGCTACTTCTTGGAAAATTATAACCCCAAATAAAGTTGATACAATAACAGACCACTATATAGTGGAAAATTAACCAAACAAATTTAAACAAATTGTATTAATAATCATGTAGCAATATTTTCAGTAATTTAAGTGTAAAAAATAAGAATGTCAGCAAGTGAAATTCATTCAATTTAAAATGACAGTTGTCATAAAACGGTCTTTCCTCAACTGTTGGTAATTTCAACTATGTGCATGCACAGGAGATTTTCATCTATTTAGGGGGTTTCTAGTAAGTGGCTACTAAGAGAAATACAAATATGGAGAGCTTCATGTGATTCTTCCATAAAAAACAAAGAAAGGGCTTGAAAGTTGAGATTAAAAAGGAATTTGAACTTTGATTCTGGTGGCATGGTAGATTAAGTACCCCAATGGATCTTCCTGACTGAATCAACTAAATGCTGGATAAAATATAAGGATGAAAAATAAAAATTACAAACAACAACAGCATGTGCATTGGAAGGGGGTGATAAGGAATAAAGCATTCTAAAGTCCTTGAATTATTGGGGTGAAGGTATAGATACTGACTACTGTTGTTCCATAAAATTAAGTACACGTTAATATACTAGCATAACCACTAGAAGAAGAAGCACAGAGCATATTACCTGCAAACAAGAAGTTAAAAAAATACTGGAATCGGAAGAAGACAAAAGAAAATCAATGAAAAAGATGGCAGTATAAAAGGAAATAGAAAACAGAGCAGACCAAAAAACATACCTAATATGATAATAAGGTTATATTCAAATAGAGGAGTAATCAGAATAAATGTAACCGGATAAGCTGTGCAGTTATAAGACAGAAATATCAGACTGTCTTTTTTAATTCAGCCTAACCGTTGTTGGTTTTATAAAGAGACACGACCAAAACTTACAGATGCAGAGATAGTCCTTAAGTCAATGGATGGCTGGGGAAAAAATGTGCACCAGAAAAATGCTAACCAGAGAAAAGCTAATGTAGCCATTTACATAGCAGACAAATTAGTTTCTGATCAAAGGTTCGTGTTAGCAAAAAGATATAACCTCTCTAAGCTTGCAAGTGCCTGAGAAAATAGCCTCAAATTGTGCAAGGCAAAAATTGACAGAAAACTAGGAACGTTTGACAAATTCACTACCATAATGGGGGATTTAAACCCCTTCTTTCAATAATAGGGCAATCAAGCAGGGCAAAAAGTGAGTAGGAACGTAGGAGATTTGAACAACAAAATGAATAACTGGATCTAATGAACATTTATAAAACACTGCAACCAACATTCAGACAATACACCGTCTTGTTAAGCGCTTACTAGAATCCATGAATTTCAAATGATAAGCCCCCTTCTTTGACCACAATTCAATTAAGTTAGAAACCAACTGCAAAAGGAAAATGAGGAAAACACCACACATTTGTAAATAAAACCTCACACACAGCTAAAGCCTTCATGGATAAAAGCAGAAATCATCAAGGAAATGAGACAATAGAACGGAAGGATGATGAGATTACCACTTATGATAATCTGTGGGCTGCAGTAAAAATATTACTGAAGTGGAAATTTATAGCCCCGAGTGCTGACTTCATATAGCTGGAAAAGCACACATCTCAAAATACAGTCATTTCATCCCAGGTCTAGACTCACATATATACTGCACCAGAAATCATATGTAAGAAAGTTGTGGAAGCCAGGTTTCTCACAGAAAAACGCATGGTCGGTAAATGTGGTACATGTATGATGACGGGAAAAAGGCTTACCAACTTGCATGGTACATTTTACTCATACATAAATAAAAATCAAAGTTCCCTTATATTCTTTAGATAAAACAATATTCTTTTACGTAAGTGCCTACCAAGCCATGTAAATTGGAGTGCAAATTTTTAATCAACTCCCTCTAATAATTTCTAATTTTTTTAATTTTTAATTGTGGTAAAATACATATAAAATTTACCATCTTGACCATTTTTAAACATACAGTTTGGTGGTATTAAATACATTCACACTGCTGTGTAGCCATCACCACCATCCATCTCCAGAACTTTTTGCATCTTCTCAAATTGAATCTCTGTCCCCACTGAACACTAATTCTCCATCCCTCCTCCCCCAGGCCCTGGCATCTGCCATTCTACTTTCTGTCTCTATGAATTTAACTAAACTAAGGACCTCATATGAGTGGAATCATACAGTATTTGTCCTTTAGTGACTGGCTTATTTCACTTAACATAACGTCCTCAAGGTTCATCCACGTTGTAGCATGTGTCAGAATTTCCCTCCTTTTTATAGTTGAATAATACTGCATTGTATACATAGACCACATTTTATTTATCTATTTATTCTTTGATGGACACTTGGGTTGTTGCATCTTTGGGTATTAAAAATACTCTTCAAGACTATGCTTCCATTCTTTGGGGTATAGACCCAGAAGTGGGATCCCTGGATCATATGGTAATTCTATTTTTAATTTTTTGAGTAACCGCTACACTGCTTTCCACAGTGACTGCCCCGTTTTACATTTTTACCAACGGTGCACTGTTTTTTGATAGCAGCCATTCTAATGGAGTGAGATGGTATCTCATTGCGGTTTCTAATTTTCTAAAGAAAGGATTTGTTCAGTATTTTGTCTGATGCAGCTGTTACAAGCTAAATAATGGCACAGTTTGACCTGGGAACCTTTATCCAGTGTTCACCAATTTCCTCATTAACGTGATACTCGGTGACTTATACCCACGAACAGAAGAAAATTCCTTTTGACATGAAATTGTTCATGGTGCTGCATCTTTTCTCCACTTCTGTTGCAGAATAACTATTTTTAACATGTTCTAGTCCTTATAAAACTGTGTGTGATTTTTGTATATCAATATATATTTCAACAGCTGTCTTGAATATCATTATTGAAACATTTAATTAGCTTACTTTTGTTAGTTTTTATTAATTTTCAAACTCCAGATTTTGAAAAACATCACATAGGCAAGTCTTTGGATTCATTAAATATAAATACCTTAAGTATTTATTATATATTTTTTCCTTTTTTTCATCAAACAGAAAATGTCTTCTCCTCTAATTTCTCCTATCTCCTATAAGATAATCATAAGTTGTTCTCTTGGATTTGATTTTTTGTTGTCGTTTTCAACTGTT